TCTCTACGGCTGAAGCATAGGGAATTTTCTTCACTTTTTCATTCTCTTCCTTTGTTGAAGGGATTTGATAGTAACTTAGCTTAAAGTGAGCAGCAAATGGACAGCTTACAGCTTGTTCAAGAGTGGGCCATTCTTCTTCTTGACTCTCTTCTATATTAGAATCTGTCGGTGCATTCTCTTGGCTATCATGATCATCATCTGTAACTTTTGGTTTAGCTCCTCTATCAACATCGTGAGATGCAACACGAGAAATTGGATCAAAATCAATTAGACTATCAAAATAAGGCTGATCACATTTTTCATTCGTCACAAAATCTTCAATTGTTTAGTCTTCAAAGAAAATCACATCTTGACTTTGAACCACTTTCTTGCTTATAGGATCCCATGATCTGTAGCCAAATTTTTCATCTCTATAACACAAGAATACACATTGCTTGGCCTTGCCATCAAGCTTTGATATCTCTTTCTTAGGTATATGCATAGATACTCTGCAACCGAATGTTTTCAAGTGTCCGTATGAGACATATTTCTTACTCCATACCTTATCTGGAATATCTCCATTTAAGGGTGATGAAGGACACAAATTAATGAAATAACTTGGTGCTTCCATCCCTCCCCCCAAAAATTTTGGGCAATTTCCCATGAGACAACAAACATCTTATTTTTTCCACAATGGTGTGATTCGTCCTTTCTGCAACACCATTGTGTTGTGGAGTTCTTAGAATAGATTGCTCATATCTAATGCCATGAATTTTACAATACTCATCAAATGGCCCCAAGTACTCACCGCCATTGTCGGTGCGAATGCATTTTAGTTCACTCATGTCTCACTTTCCACCATTGCATGAAAGCTTTGAAATGTTGACAGCACCTGGTCTTTTGTTTTTAAAGTATATGCCCAAACTTTTCTTAAATGATCATTTATAAAAGTGACAAAATAAGAAGCACCATCCAAGGATTTAACTTTCAATGGGCCACATACCTCCAAACAAAACCTATCTAAAATATTTGATTTTCTTTCATGATTTCTTTGAAAAGAAACTTTATGCTACTTGCCAATTCAGCAATGAATGTAACTGTTTATGTGCGTACCTTTAATTTCAGGGAGGATTTCTCTCATTGCAAGAATATGCAAACCCTTCTCACTCATATGGCCCAATTGCTTGTGCCAATGATCGATCAAAGCATCCTTTTTCGTTGCTTTCATCTCCCCCTTCCATAGTTGAGCATGGGTTATGTATAGAGTGCAACATTTTCTTCTCTTACAATTACGAGGGATCCCTTTTTGACCTTTCATCTCCCATTTGAAAACTTATTCTTGTATCCGACATCATTCAACTTTCTAACAAATTAAATTTAGGTGTAAGTTTGGCACATATCTAACCTCCTTGAGCATGAGTTTGGTGCCCCGATCAGTTTCTAGAATCACTTCACCGATCCCTGCAATTTTTAACATATCCTTATTTCCCATGTTCACTAAGCCATCACTAGTTTTATATGATGAAAAGAATGCCTTGTTCGAAGTAGCATGAAAAAAGGCTCCAGAGTCTACTGTCCAAGTGGTATCTTCATAAGACATATTCAAGCATGATTTTTCATACTCCGAGAGAAAAATAATATCACCGTCTAAGGATATAGAAGGAATATCTTTCTCTTCTTGTTTTTCTTCATTCTTCTTCTCTTTCTTGAGTTTTCTACCTTCTCTTCTGTAGTGACCTTTTAGACCACAATAAGGACATACCACGTCCTTTCATGGCTTTGATTTGTTTCTCAACCTCCCATAAGACTGAGGATAAGCGCTTCTATTTTTATTCCTCCCCCTCTTTTCTACAACCAAAGCTTTTGAGTAGGACGAATCTATGGATTTTCTTCTCATTTTTTCATTCAGCAAAAGTGACTTGTTTCATTGGGAAGGCTCTATCTGGAGTAGAGTTGATGATAAAAATGGCCAAGGTTTCTCAACTGTCTAGTAGAGAACTGAAAGTAGGAGAGCTTGTAGTTCATCATCTAACACATATTCATTGAAGAGAATTGATTGACAATGTTTTGCATCTCGTTCAAGTTTTCGTTAACGTAGTTGCCTTCTTTGAGCTTTAAATTGACAAGTCTTTTCCTTAAAAAAAAAACTTTTTGGCCCATTGTCTTTCTTTCACATAAGCTTTCAAGCTTCTTCCATAACAAAAGTACATTGCTCTCCTTCAAAATGTGATGATACACATTATCATTAAGCCATTGCTTCATAACTCTAATGGTTCTTCGGTTTTGTTTCTTCCATTCCTCATCGGACATTTTTTTGGGTTTGTCACCTTCAATTGGACTGAACATATCCTTGCAATACAGTAAGTCCACCATTTTTGACTTCCAAATAATGTAGTTTCCTCCATTTAGGCTCACCATTCGACTTGTGTTGATATCCATGATCTACAAAGCAACCTGGCTTTGATGCCAATTGTTGAAATTGCTGCAGCAAAAACAGCAGCTTCCTACTAGTGTAAATCAGAGAAAGCAAAACACAACTAAACAAAAATTAAAGACGAACAAAGGACACCATAATTTTGTGGAAAAAAAAAAACCCTCCAATGTGAAAGGAAAAACCACATGACAAAGTCCGCAATACTTCCACTATTGGAAATGGGATTACAAGCACTAATCTCTCTAAAACTTTAGAGGATGTTTGACTCAAGGCGCGCACACACTCTTGGATGAACTCAATATTTTTTTTCTTTCTCTCTCTCTCTCTCTCTCTCTCTCTCTCTCTCTCTCTCTCTCTCTCTCTCTCTCTCTATGGAAAAGCTACTGGCTAAAACACATAAATATTCATAATCAACTCCCTTCTAGAAAACTACAGAAGGGGATAGACAAAGTAATTAATATTAGGGCTACTTTACATATACTCAGTTCTTGAAAGTGGATAAAACCATTCTTTATCCCATGATATTTATTCTTAGACAGCTTTGTATTAAAGATGGATATTTAATTCCACGAGGAGGGAATTCCAATAGATAAGCCTAAATCCGTTGTACGTTTGTGGTAGTGGAAGTTGTGTTTAACACCAGTCCAGTGTCTGCGTGTAGGCGTGTTGCTATATCTTGCTGAATGAATAAAATCAAAAGAGATGTCTGATCTAGTGTATTGAGTTAAGTACGATAAAGTGACAATTGCACCGAGGTATGGAACTTTAAGCTCCAATACCTCTTCCCCATCGTCTTTAGAACATAAAGGATCTCGTTTTGCATCTAGAGTTGGTATGGCCATATGAGAATTTGAAGGCTTTGTTTTATCCTCGTTAAAGCGACGCAACACCTTCTTGGTGTAGTTTGATTGATGAACAAGAATACCATCTGAACAATGCTCGATCTCCAGGCCAACACAGTATCGAGTTTTCTCGATATCTTTCTTCTCAAATTCCATCTTAAGGTGCGCGACAGTTTTCTCAAGCTCTTTCAGAATCCCACTGAGATTCATGTCATCGACATAAACTGCAACCATCATAAAATTGGAATGTGACTTCCTAAGAAACACACATGGGCATAGTTTATTATTCACTTAACTTTGACTAATCAAATACTTACTCAGACGGTTGTACCACATCCGTCTGGATTGTTTCAATCCGTAGAGTGAACGCCTAAATCTAATCAAAAGGGTGTTCCGTAGTAGAACTATTTGATTGAGTCAATGTAAGTCATTTATGCTTTCATGTAGATTTTCGTATCAAGATCCCTATAAAGATATGCGGTTACCATGTCCATGAGCTGCATATTTAGTTTTTCGAAAACTACAAAACTGATAATAGTGCTGGAACCAAATTTGCGCATATCCGTGGACGGAAGCGAAATCAAGTTGGACTTGTGCGCCCTTAATCTCCAGCGAGGAGAGATGGGTTTGATTTGTTTGGTGGGGGGGGGGGGGTGGTTGAATACGAATAGGATTGCTTACATATCTCCAGGAAGGAGAATCAAATTGCGGGTGTAGTTCTAAGAAATAATGGTGTCATGTGCAGTACATTGTGAACCATCCTTGATGAATAGCCTATGGTGAGATTTTAAGGAGATGAGTTCTCCATGGAGATGTCTATGCGTAGATGGCGGCGTATGAGAGAAAAGTCTCGCTTAGAGAGACTATGCAAATATTATATAAATCTTATATAATATTGATGTGCGACATAGTGCATCAATAATAAAACACCCAATGTTAGGTGAATCAATATTGTGTTTTATGTAATGCACATATTTTATAAATCCTACACCACTCTCTCAGTATAATATATCATAGTATTAAAAAAAATGAACAAACGACGTGTATCATATATGTGAACTAGTGTCATTTTGATGCTGACAAAAGAGTACATATATATATATATATATATATCATGTTCTTGTGGTGATCGAATTGTGCGACTGAGAACAAGAGTACACATGTTAACCAATGACAACAGTTATCGATCAGTCCACGCCTTCAAATGGACTACAATGACTATTTGCCCTATGTAATCAATTATTTATCCATGAGCATTCTATTTGTCCTTTTATGTAAATAATACACTTTTTAAGTCAAATAATAATTACATTAAAAGTCTAACCATATATATTCTCAACCCATAGGGGCATTATTTTTTTTTTCCTTCAATTTTCCCCATGAATTTATTCATCTTTCCCAATTGGTACGTAGCATGTAACGTATCAACACATGGAAAGGCCAAAAAAGGACTAATCAGTAACTCAATTGGAAACGTCTGATCTCAAAACAATTTTTTGTCTGGTCCCAATCTATTATATATATGTAACCTCCTACAAAACCATCACCTTTCACCTAGGTCTTTCCACCAATCATTTTTCTTGTAACACACGACAGATTTCCGGATCCCTCAAAGCTAATCTGTTTGTGATCATTGGGCTTATTTAGTTGGCTATAAATTTTGGTGACGGTTGACGTTTATTTTCATTTCTCTTGAACTTTTTGTTGTGTCTGTGTGAACTGTGGCTAAGCTTAAAGTCTACGTTATGGGAGATCAGGAGGAGCACAAAAGGGCTGAGGGTGAAACTCCCTCTGTGTCCGCAATACCGCCAACAGCAGAAGAAGTCCCGGCGGTTGTTAAGAACGAAGGAGAAAATCATGCCACTGAAGACAAGAGTGTGATCCCAATTCCTGAAGAGACGGCATCTCCTCCTCCTGCTGCTCCTGCTGCAGCAGCTGTCAAAGGTGCACACTCCCCTCTATATCTTTCTCTCTATTTCTGAGCTTTTTAGATAATTATTGTGACATGAAGCCAGACGTACAAAATACAAAATATCTTCACTTTTACGGGTATTTTTCTTGATCGGTGACGTAACTAGACTAAAGTAATTTGTTGGAGTCACAAAATATTTTTCATATTAGAATTGGGTGGATCAACATTTTGTGCTTATAGAAGATATCAATAAAGATGAATGTTTTGCCTCAAGAAAAAAATAATAATAATAAAGATGAATGTTAGCAAGTGATATTGATCTTAGTTCGATAGATAAATCATTTTTGCTTATGTCAAAAAGTAAGAATTCATAAACTTATGTACAAATATGAAATTATTTATTAATCTTAAACCCTAAGCACTCCCACTACTTAGTTTTTTTTTTTTGAAATTTTCATGGGAGAAAGGCAATCTAGAAATTATAAAACATTCACCATTTTTCACCTTCTCACTTTATATATATATATAGAAGATAATCAATTTGCGGATATTCATATTTTGCTCATATTCCTCAACTAACATGTGGAATTTGTTTAACATTCTTAGAGATTGCAAACCCCGCAGTAAAGAAAGGTGTAGGGAGTTCAACTGACAGAGGTATATATGTCTATGATTTGTTTGTTTCTTTGAATCATTTTCTGTACATCCCTCAGTTGCAAGATATATATTAAAAACTCATCATTTTCTCGTATTTTTTTTTTCAGATGTATTATTTGCAAAAATCGAAATGGAGAAAAGGCTGGCCTTAATTAAAGCATGGGAAGAAAGTGAGAAGACAAAAGCAGAGAACAAGTAAGTGGTCATGTATATCTTGATTTATAAAATAAATTAATAAAAACATGAAAAGTGTTGAAGCATCCTTCAAAATAATTATTATTTATAATGCTTGATTGAAGCATTTGAAGTATTCCAACGTTTTCAACGATTGACAGGGCATGCAGAAGGATGTCAATAGTAGAATTATGGGAAAACAACAAGAGAACCAATGTAGAGGCAGAACTCAGAAAAATTGAGGTAAAATTCCCGAACCTTGGTTGCAAAAATAAATGCTTATTAACCACCTGAGCTACAAGGTCTTTACAGTTCTTTTAAATTCCTTCAAGTATGCTTGCGGCTATTTGATCCATATGATTACATTAGAACCTATTTTGGATACTTGATCAAAGTGTTTTTTCAACCAATCTGCGTAGGAAAAATATGAAAAAAAGAAGGCAGGGTATGCTGAGAAAATGAAGAACAAAGTTGCTGAAATACATAAAACAGGAGAAGAAAGGAAAGCTATCATTGAAGCCAAGAAAAAAGAGCAATCCCTGAAGGTGGAGGAGACAGCTGCGAAGTTTCGTTCGACTGGAAATACACCAAAGAAATTGCTGTTGTGGTGCTGCGTCTGTCAGCATTCTGCAGTCAAATAATGAATCAACCACCAAAACAAAGGGAGGGGCTAGCTTTCAAATTTGGTTAATTTGTTGGTTTTTTTATTTGTAGTGCTGCACAGTTTTTTCAATAAGTGCAAAATCAAACACATGCAGAACATTTATAGTTTACTATTCTTCTATTTTGACTAATCTACTAAGAAAAATAGCAAGTTTTGAAAGGGCAAACCTTTTAGAAAGAAAACGATGGGGACAGAGTGGAGGTATATTTGAAATTTCTGCCCTCCCTCCAAGCCCCTCCAAGCCACTTGTCTTATTGAGCCCTGTACTTCCATAAGTCCAGTTGAAAGTTGGGCTTGTCTTCATCAAAGGTTTTCTGAACTTAACAAAGCCCAAACGTGAAGCTTCCTCAACTGCAAAATCCCAGGTCAAACAAGGACTGTGAGAGTGGTAGTACTTACCTAAGTTGCCTAATCAAAGCAAACTTAACAAATCAACTCCATTGTGCATGAACAAACAAGAATACCTAAAGATGGCCTATTGAGTGCTACGTCAAAATAATGTCGACAGTATTTGACTAGTAATGGATATATCGTGGGTATTTAATTTTGTGATTTAGCACTGACTCGGCTCCATATAAGTATAATGAGGCAACTAGAGATTCCTTACTTAAGGTTGTACGTAAATTGTCGACAATTATTATTATTATTATTATTATTATTTTGACAAACAATAGAAAAATCTACTCTAAATTCATCTAAATTATAGAGAGAGAGAGAGAGAGATTCAAACACAGTACCTTGAATACATGAGCAAACACTCTTAACCAGCTGAATGACATATAACTTGCAAATGTCTGAAAATTTTAAATGGCAAGGACCGAACTATATTGACTCCAAATGAAAGTAGTGCAGAGGAAAGCTAAACCCTTAAACAAAATCATTTCTCTCAACCCACCAATTAATAATTCAAATCATGAACACTGTTATGAAATTGACGATATGTGAGCAGTGAAATAAAGTAAATAAGACACAATATTTACGAGGTTCGGCAAGTGTGCCTAAGCCCTCTAGACAATAGTAGTACTTTCTTTAATTATCTGAAATAATATGAGTACAAAGTAACTCTCATTATTTTCTCTCCTCTTTAGCCTGACTCACTAGTATTTTCTTCTGCATTTCTCTTCTCTCTTTCCTTTCATTCTATCTCTTCTTTTATTTCTCTCTTCTTTTCCTCATTTATTTCCTTTCCTCTGTATGTTTCTCACCTCACTCTTTCCCTTATTCTTCAATTTTTTATAGGCAAAAGTTCGGACTTAACAAACCCAACATATGAGTTATTTTAATACATTAATGGGAACCAAAGTCATCAAGTGAATAGTAAACTTTAATTATCTTTCAAAGTCTTTATTCATACTACTGTTTCAATGGGCATTCACATTGGTTTTTTTATCACTTTCCCTTGGATGCCCATAGGTCTTTGATTAACTAACTCATTAAAACTTCTCATGAGATGAATGGATGGTTTGAAGGAAACAAAAAAAAAAAAAAAAATTTGCTCACATGGCTGATGTCGCATACTTTTAGACAAGGTTCTAAAAAATACTAGGCGCTAGTCAGGCAGCCGGTTGGGGCCTAGCGCTTAGGTGGCTAGGTGGGGTCTAGGTGGGCACCTAGGCGGGTTTAAGTAAATTTCTTGTATATCCTATAAATAAGTGCTTATTAACACTTAAAAAAATATTACATGTATGGAATCCATGGATAAGATAATAAAAGAATGATAAAATGCTAGAAGTAGTGTCTCCAATAAGTCCGTAATTTAAAAGCACATTAAGCATATATGTCATGTAACCATAGTGAGGAGTATTTTAGGATGATACATGTACCCAACAAGTTCACAATTTTAAAACCACCTAAAATGCAAAATAAGAAGAATAAGGAACTATTGAAATATGAGAGATTGCAAAGTTTCAAAGTTAGGCATCAAACTCTTCTTCTCCATATCCCTCCAAGATTCTCTCTATGTTGGATTCAAACTCAACTTCTTTATCATCTTCTTCTTCTTCTTTTGTGTCCTCATCCAATACAAAATCTTCTTCATGAAGTTCTCTTAGGTACCGTTTGGTACGTGGGATGGGACGGAACAGAGTGGGATAAGGCATTCCGTCCCACGTTTGGTGCGCCTAAAGCGGGTGGAACGAGCTGTTCCACGGGACAAGTTTTGGGTGAATTTTCGTTCCACCTCACCCCCCTAGAACGACTCGTTCCACATCCGTGGAACACAAAATTATAACCTCTCCATCTCCTTCTTCTTGCTCCTTGTTTCCATCCAAGGGCATCATTGCTCCCGCTCCGTTCCGTTCCGTCCTGTCCCGTCCCGTCTGCATACCAAACAATATCTTACTCCAACATTTTTAGAACTCCTCCTAGGCTCTAGGGAACTACCCATCTTCGATGTCTCTCCAATTCCCGAACCAAGCTCAAGTTCTTTATCATAACCCTCCACAATCCATCCTTGCACCATACTAGTTTCACTTGCTAGTAGTATGTCCACTTTCTTCTCCTTCTCTTTTTTCTTCTTGTTCATGATCTTTGCATTGAATTGGACATGGACTAAATTATTTAATCTTGTTGTATCTAGTTTATTCCTTTTCTTTGTATGTATACCTTCAAATGTGCTCCAATTTCTCTCACAATTGGATGAACGTGTAGTCAATGAGAGAATCTTTATAGCCATCTTTTGCAAATTAGGTATACCATTTCCATAATTATACCACCATGCAACTAATGAAGAAAAAAAACACACAATTAGTTATGAAAATTTAGTAAAGTCAAATTTAATATATATATATAAAAATAAGCTTATGAGAAGATTCATACCCGGATTATAGTTGTTATCACGCTCAACGCATCCCATCTCTGCCAAATGTCTTCCAAATCCACCTTCTTTTTCTCTATACTTGTGCATCTCAACATTTATCACTTGGTTTTGAACCTTATAGATATCAGGGAAGGACTTCTCAATACAAGTAAAAATCCCCTCTATGACAATTAGATCATGTTGTATGCTTTGATCTTTGAAGAAGTAATAAGGGTTTAAGAGGTAGCCCGCCAAATGTAATGGACTATCAAGCCGTTCACGAGCATTTTCATCAATAATTTGGAGAATTGGTCGATAGTTGGCCTCATTGATAGAAGGGTGTGTGAGAAGCAAAAAAGGGTGTGTGGATATTACACCCCTTTTATTTTATAGCATATACATTCAATCTGTGCAAAGCCAAAACATATATTAATTTATAATTATATACACACACAATCAATCTTTGCAATCTAAAAAATTTCAATATGTACTAAGGTTAATATATTAATTATTACTATATACACACACAACACAATAATCAAATGGCAACAAATAGGCAGAGGGCAGACGGTGCAAAGTGTAGACAGACAGGCAGTGGTGCATTTAGGTTCATCACTTCAATGTTTTCCAAATTATTTTAGAAGCCAAAACAGCCAAAAACTCAATGCTCAAATTGAAATTTTCTTTTCCTACATTTTCTAAACGACCATGTCAACCAAACACAAAAAGAACAACAATATCCACCATTCCTAATATTCTCCAGCTTCCTCACATATCGTTAAATTTTCAGTTTAATGTATATCAATATATACAAAATTTCAATTGAATCCACCTTTCCCAATATTCTCCAATAATTGAGTCCACCTTTCCTGATATACAAAATTTCAATCTATGCAATCTGACAATCTGTGCAAAATATCAACATTTATTATATACATATATACAAAGTATCGATATAATTAATTATATAAGCAATATGCAACAGACGGCAATGCAATTTGCTAATCTGTGCAGTTCTACATTGAACGATTTGTAAGATAATGGAGTCATGAACTCCTACTTCTATTTGCATTTTAGTATTCAGTCATATGTATGCAAAAAAAAAAAATGATACTTGAAGCTATCCATTAAGTTGAAAATCCTAATCAAATTCGAATCGAAACAGCAAATAAACCACCTTATAATATGAAATCCCATAAATTTCCATATGTGACAACCCATCCCCAATTTTACAATTGTATTAATTTTAAATATGTGAATTGACGAATATGCCCCTAGAAGCGACATTGTTGACTTTCGTTGACCATCATTTCGTGATGCGTACGAGCTACTATTTTTTTGTAGTGTGACAACTCCTCTGTGACAACTATCGCCGTGCTTTGACAACTCCTACGAGCTACACTACCAATCATCGTGTCTCTCTCTTGTCACTCTCCCTCATCTTAAACGTCTATTCCCGCCACTTCCTCCGTGCTCACGGCACAAAAATACTGAAACCACCACTGAAGTCAATTTTCCCAGTGAACTCTCGCTGATGCCGAACTGAGTAAGCCTCGGAACATTCTAAACCCTTTCCTTTCCATCCTCATGGTTGATGTTGATCAAGTTTATGAATTTTGGATGACGAAATTGCATAGAGACAATAAGGAGACTTTTCCCCAGATTTCGACATAAAAGCCCGACTTGTAAGCCTTTCTCAACCACCTTCTAGCCACGGCAGGACCGAATGCTGGTCTCTTCTTCTCCTCTTAAACTTCATTTTGGTAAGTAAAGTGTGAAAAATGGTTGAGTTTTGAAGCTAACTGGAGTCGTGGAAGTTTCTCAACCAAATTCCCAGTTTTTGGTGGTTACATCGGTGACCAGAAAAAAAAAAAAAAAAAAAAAAAAAGATCCAAATTCGGATCTGTGGACCAAATCCAACCCAGATCTGCGAGACCAACCCAATTCCATATCAGAAATTTGAGGGAATATTCTATTAACTCCCAGTTAACTTTAACAGAATATTCCGTTAAAGTTAAATGTTGACCATTAGTTGACTTTTTTGAAATTTTCTCGAAAACCCTTCTAGATTAATTTGAACGTCCTGAGTACGTTTTTAACATCCATTTAGTAAAATTTGAAGGATTTAATGTAGTTGACCGGCTTGATGTCTCTATTGAATTTTTAGGGTTAACTGTTGA